AGGTTGAGGTTGCTTATATAATTGATTCCTTCTTGAAGCAGTAAATACCCTAAAGGCTTCCTACTGAACCTCAGAAGGAAGGCGGAGAATATACTCGCAAGATCCAATCCTGCACCTTCTTCTAAGGAGTTTCTCACATTACCGTCATGCAACGTTTCCCAGGCGATCAGCAGATACTTCGGCAACACAGTGAAAATTGCCAGCACAGCCGGAATAAGATACATGACATGATACGGGAGAAAAAGCAGCCTGTCAACAACACCAACAGTGCTGTGTATCGCATACCCTGCAGCAGATGCGACACAGCATACTTTGGAGAAACAGGCCGTGGCTTCAGCACCAGGATCAACGAACACCGAGGCTGACATCCGTCACCATAGGACTTCCAACGCCATGGTGGTCCTGTAGATGACTGACATCTACCAAATTGGAAAGAAGCAAAGATAGTCCATGAAGGACTGAACAGGCAGCAAAGAAAAATCATGGAAGCTGCCTACATCGCGACGGAAAATAACATCAACGCAGCTTCGGGCAGGTTCAAATTATCCAAGGTCGCGGCAGCAATCATACGGTCAACGAGCGGGAGGTCACAGTCAGGTAGCACGTCAGCAGTATAAATATATATGCTCTATATCTCATTTGTTGTATGTATTTCTGACGAAGATATAATTCGAAACCGGTCAAATACATCTCTTGTATTGTGAAGATACTCATTCTCATTCATACCTTTTCTACATATATATATATATATATGTGTGTGTGTGTGTGTGTGTGTGTGTGTATACATAAACAGACACACATACACATACACACACACACACACACACACACACACACATATATGTATATATATGAATGAATACATAAATTTATGTTTATACATTCTCTCTCTCTCTCTCTCTCTCTCTCTCTCTCTCTCTCTCTCTCTCGCTATATATATATTATATATATATATATATATATATTTTTTTTTTTAAACATGTACACACACACACACACACACACACATAAATATATATATATATATATATATATATATATATTATATATATATATTATATATATATATATGTGTGTGTGTGTGTGTGTGGTGTGTGTGTGTGTGTGTTGTGTGTGTGTGTGTGTGTGTTTTCTGCTTATTTGTTCATAGTTCTCAACCCGTTTTTATATAATCATATACCTACGACTGTGATCATTTTTACTATTTTCATGTGTATGATTATATTTTTCGCACAAACGACGATTTTTGTTGTGGCTGCAGAATATTGTTTTTCTTTATACATAGAAAACAAATGTCATAGAATATCGCCATCGATGTGTCCTAGTTAAATGATGCCATGGCCTGTGATCCCGCTGCCACTCCCTTTCTTATAGCGCCAATTTCATTCGCAGATGTTCAATGTTCAGGTTTCAAGGACAAATGAGCCCGACGGTTGTTGGAGACACTGCCCAGTGAACTACAAGACCTCCGCTTATCAGTGGCTAACAGTGATCAGTATTTGGCTCTTTCCCTGTATATGTCAGCAGTAAGAGTCGGCTTCCACATTTGGCCAATTTTAGTAAGTAATTGAAATGTCTTTGTTTAATTACAAACGTCAGGCGGAGTATTCCTTTGCACTAAGTTTCTTTCATTTTTCTATTTTTTAATAGGATTACATATTCCTGCACATGTAGTGGACACGGAGTTACTTCAGCCACTACCGGAGGGTCTGAAGTTGGAGTTGATAATTAGCAAGGTTGACAGCGACACGATAGAATGGGCGTGTCGAGCTGCTTCTGCGCTTCAACCAAAGGAGAGCCAGTAGGCCTCATGCTAGTCTTGTGAAATATTATAACCTTCCTGCTGATTATTAAGATTACAACTACCAAGATAATAGCTATATTTTGCGTACTATTTCAAATGAAATAAATGATTTTTCTTAGCTTAGTTGCACACTGATACCGATAGCCATATACTTATATATTTCGTTGTGTTGTTATTATTATCACGTTAGATGATTTATTTAATTTCTCATTTTATGTTATTATATTATTTATCTTATTATTTGCCATTTTAATCATTATCCTCGTTATCATTATTCATTTTGACAGTATTTAAAAGTATGATTGTCTATTTCTTGCTCTTATTATCTTCATCTGTGTTCTTTTTTTCTTTTCTGATTGTATCATGCAGATATTGTTTTCTGTCCCTACTTGGTGTTGGCAATAGCACACTGGTGTGCCACCGCCTGCTGGAGGCCCTCGTTCGCGACGGCGTGCAGATGGCCAAGGATGGCGCTCCTTGTGGTTTCCCCAAAATTGGCCACGCAAGACGCGAGTCAAATGAGGAAGAGCTTCATGGCTCGGCTCGGCTGTCGGTTCCGATCGTGAGTAGAGATCCTTCAATAAGCGCACCAGCAAAATTGATAATAGTAATGATGTGAAAATAGCAAAAATAAGGTTATATATATTTTTTTTAATGTTATCTTTATCATAATGCAACGAACCATTTTATTAAATTATTATTATGACGAAAATGTACGATGAGGATTTCATATTAGGGTGACATGAATGCATCTCAATCATATGATAGAATATTATTAGTAACGTATATATATATAATATATATTATATATAATATATATATATATATACATATATGTATGCATGTATGTATGTATGTGTGTGCGTATGTATGCATATATAGGTAGATAGAGTAATAAATACATAGATATTGATATATGTGTGTGTATATACATATATATTTTATATGTACACATATGTATATATATATACAGATACATATATGCATATACATACATATATATAAATATGTATAATACATATATATATATATATATATATATAATATATATATATATATATATATATATATATATATATACATATATGTATGCATGTATGTATGTATGTGTGTGCGTATGTATGCATATATAGGTAGATAGAGTAATAAATACATATATATTGATATATGTGTGTGTATATACATATATATTTTATATGTACACATATGTATATATATATACAGATACATATATGCATATACATACATATATATAATATTATATATATATATATAATATATATATATATAATATATATATATATATATATAATATATATATATATATATGTGTGTGTGTGTGTGTGTGTGTGTGTGTGTGGTGTGTGTGTGTGTGAGAGGTTTGTTATCATTGTTGTCCACCACTTTGTCAGGGATGTGTTGGTTAAACGCACGGTTTGACTGTAGGCTTTGTTGATGGTATAGGTTCTCTGTAGCATAGTGTGGACAGAGGTTAATTGGCCGGTTTTGGGAAGAGAGCCCTGGCGAGTGGCCACCGGTGAGAAGGCCGCGCGGCGGCGGACCGCGACTCGAAGTAGTGTAATTGTTCTGGGCAAGGGAGCGATCAGAGATCATGAGAGATGTGGGCTTGGCTTAAGTCAGTACGACGGCGATGCCATGGACACCGCCGCTCTATTGGTCCTTCTAACTGGAGGGCGTGACAATGAATGCTTCTGACCACTCAGACCGCTCGGCACACGCACCCAGCCGTCGTCCTTGACGGGTCAGCAATTTGGACTTGCTATGCTCAGGCAGGGGACAAAGATGAGGGTGCAAGAGCTGAAGCTGCAGGACGGAGACAGGCACAGAGAGAGACGAAGGGGGTGGGGTTGCGATAGAGCCGTATGTAAGATATAATCAAATATATTGCAGGAGACTAATATTTAAGATTTTTTATTATATTTTCCTTTTTATAATCATTTATAAAAAATAATTCAACTGTCAATAGATAGACATGGGAACATGCTTAGGGAGACAACTGCAATAGTCCCAAAAGGACTTGCTTGAGTTGCAACTGTCTCGGGATAGAAAGAGATGAAATTCTACAAGAGATAAGCATTGTGCATAACTATACGGAAGGAAAAGTTGTCGCGTCTTAAAGATAATTTGAACGACAAACTTCCTAAGAGAAAAAAAAATGCAACAGTGCGAAGGTCAACAGTGTGCTGTGCAACAGTACATGCAATATACATCTGATTTATACGAAATGCGTATCGTTTTTCTTGTTTCATAGATTTTGTCTATCACGGACACCATCAGCAAATCGCGGCAAAGCGATAACAAAAATAAAAAATGAAGTCCTCATATTCATTCGAGAGCGACTCATTACATCATTTATACATACGACACGATAAAACGTAAAAGCAAGGCAATAATACAAGATTGGCGCAAGGCGACTGCTTCTCTGAAACTATAACGCATGTATTTTTTTGTGAAATTAACGTTGATTATACAAGGAGAGACGATGTGCGTATGTGGCTTCATGAGTGAAGTGCGTGGCGAATAAACGAATCAAGTGGAAAAAGGAATTAGGGTCTGAAATGGTAAGTCAGAGTAACCACACGAGTACAATATATAATAGTGGTCAGACTAGGAATAGAATCAATAGATAAGAAATAAAAATGGCAATGCGAAGTTGTAAGTAAATAAACGAAGGACAGGATGAGAAGGGAAGGCGGGCGGTTAAGTGTAGTTTGTGAGTGAGGGGTATGGGATGGGATGGGAGCGTGTAAGTGAGGGTGGAAAAATGTTAGTGGGCAAGGAAATAGATACCGATCTGACTGCACGAAAAGAATATTTCTAATTGTGGCGATGTAGTTACTAGTATGCGGCAATTGCATCATTATATCAACTACTATGCGGAATTACAGAAATGATACTTACTTCAGCATGTGAAATTAATGAAATGGTGACAAGTCTCTCACGGAGCATACAAAACAAAGCATGCTGAGCAATGCATGGTGCAAGCAAATCGGGGTCAGCTTTCTCTTGGGATAGCGGATCAGCCGATAAGAGCCCAAGTGGTTGTCAGTTACATTAGACTTCAAAAGTCTCGGAGGAAAAGCGGTAAGTAACCCACCATATTATCATGTTGGAGAGGGTACTATGAGGACGAGCTTATATGTAATAAAATATTACGCAAATTAAAGGAGGCAGCCCATCTCCCGTCGGGAAGTGCCAGCGGCAAAGCTCACGTATAGTCGTAATCAACGGGCGCGATATGGGCGCCGAATTGCACCTGTGCGATAAGTGTGCGTCTGAGCACGTGTAAGAACAACATTCGACTTAATACTATTTGCATGTCCAGAACCCAGCGTGGGGTCGACTCCAAGGACGATGTAATAATGATGAAATGATGTTCGCGATTAAGATTATCAATGAAGAAATGAAAACCAGTCAGCTTTTGAACGATTGTCATGAGAGGAAAGAAAGAAATCGTTGAGATAACCGAGGCAATTTCACATGACTGATGATTACGATAACGAAAATCAGAGCAATGTAAAATCGTAGTTATAGTAGCTGATATAATAGAAGAATCTCTAACACTGAGATAATTGAAATAAAAATGAGAAACTAATAAAGGGCATGTCTATTTCTAGCTGTGCGCGGAGTCAGATGACAATCAGGTTCATACCCAAGTATTCTGTTCAAAATAGCATAGCTAATAACAACAAAGGTAAATGTGAGAAAAAGACACATGAACAATCTAAGAAAAATAAATGAATATATATAAATGTTAGATATACCAATAAACTGTATTGCAATAAATACGGAAAAATGAAAATACGTCGATAACGAAAAGAATAATGGTATGAAAATGAATCCTGTCAAAGCTAAGTATCACTCTCTCGTAGATTGTTAATTCAGGTTATCAAAACCACAAAGTTATATGGAAATAAATTTATTGAAATACGATTAAACTAAAATATAAAAAAAGAAAGACAATTGAAAAAGGCATTTCCCACATGGGTCAAGAGAGGGGAGAAAATGTCATCAGTTGACATGACATGGCCTAATTGACCTGGAGCACTATAAATTTACTTAACCACAATTAAGTATAACATATATATATATAAAGCATATCTACGTTTATTATTTATTTTATTTTTTTTTTGTAATGTGAAAAATACGAATAAAAAATCACATTTTACGTGTGCATTTACATGTTTGGATTTTAACACCAAGATGACGAACTCGGAAATCATACGGACCGAAATGTCAGGAAGACAGGTCACACGCGGTCAAAATTCGGCCGTGAAAGGCATGTTTAAGTGAGATGAGAATTACACTTACAAAATATATCGCATCTATATTCATTTGTTTGTTAACTGAAATGAACTCATAATCAAATATCACAACGCCAGAATATTAAAACGCTAGTGACCCCTAACAACATATTGAATTAGTAGAGAGGAAGTGGAAACTGGGAGAGAGGGAAAGTTAGGAACTAGGGTAGGTGAGAAGGCCTGAAGAAAGAAAAAAAATGCTCTTTTGTGGATAATTCCGCCAAGTTCTAAGGATTTTCAAAATTATCCCATAATAAATAGTTACACCAAGCCGAAATAAATGCTCTGGACAACCAAAAATGCTGAAATTTACGTCAATATGGCAAAGGATAACGCAATGCGGAATAATGATAATAAGAAACATGCCTAGAATATGGCAATATTCTTGTGATACCCACGCGGGCATAGAGCATTCGAGAAAAAAATGAATTTAAAGAAAATGCTCACGTGAATATACCCACATAATTAGAGATTAAGTAATTAAACTACGAATTTATGTCAAGCTGAGCATGACCTAGAAAATTACTCTCGCAAATGAAGTAAAGATAATCTACCATGAAGTGAAATTTAAAAGAAAGATGGTAGATAATAGAGAATAATGCACTAGCACGGAAATTTGTTCAGACATAATGAAAAAAAACACTTGTTAAAACATAACGGCAAGCATACACGAGAAAGAAAAAGAGAGGGAAAAAGTTCTCATGGCGTACTTACAGTTTTGTTTCGGAGAGAGGAGGTGGTTGAGCTGGGTGTTCTTGTTGGAGGCTTGGAGTTCGTGTCGCAAGTTTGAAAGAAACGACATCCACCGTTGTCACCATTTGTGAGGTTCTTGTCACTGCTGGCCACCAATTGTAGGGATGTGTTTTTTGATTGTAGGGCTTGTGGGTGTATAGGTTCTCTGTAGCATAGCGTGGACAGAGGTTAAGTGGCCGGCTTGGGCAGAGGTATTTCCCCGGCAGCGGGTATCTCCCCGAGACCCTGGCGAGTGGCCGCGGAGAAGGCCGCGCGCGAAGCGGGACCGCGACTCGCCAGTAGTGTAATTGTTCTGAGGCAAGGTAGGCATCATAGTATACTGTGTGTGTGGGTGCATTTATATATATATTAAATATATGTATATATATATATATATATATGTATATATATATATATATATATCTATAGTATATATATATATATATACAACATATATATATTATATATTATTATATCTATATATATATATATCATATATTAATAT